CAAACTGGATAATTCTATTAAGGGGGTTTTGGTGGTCGTTCAATTTAAAACTGAACAAAATACACAAAAAAATACAACAAGCATATGAAAAACTTGAAATGGTGGATAAAGAAACCCAATTAATAAAGCCAATAAACCAGTTATCATGGGATTCGCTTGTTATACTAGAGAGGGAGAAGGTATCCAAATGCTTGAGAGAGACTATGTTTGGGTGGCTCTCGACAGAAGGAACATCTCTTACCTGGAACGTTACAAGACATAAACCGGACTCGACTTTTGAGGCACAAGAATTGTATGAAAAATTTAGAAGTAGGTCTGAAGAGGAAGAATTGGGTGCCTGAAAAGAAGGAGGGATAGGTGCCGAACTAACTACATGTCATTCTGAGGAAGGAGAAATAGTGAATACTGATTTGCAACAAGAAGTACAGACACTGGAAATGGATACCGATTTACAACAAGCACTACAGATACTGACAGCAAAGGAAGAGAGATGGGGCAGGGGTGTAAAGAAGAAAAAAGAGAATTTTCTATCTTAAAAGGAATGATTTAAATGGGTTGGCATGTTTATATATGGTATGAGAAGGCTAAGTTACATGTTTTTTTTATTTAAAGTTACTATACCTGAAAACCATTAATGTTGTTTTAGGAAAAGTTATACTAAGAAGTTTTTTTCACCCATGGAAGCTCCTCTGTATCCAAATGCATTGAATGTCGAAGGGATTATAAGATATGATGGACATTTTGGATAAAGATGGAGGACTGAAATTGAGCTAAGAAGTACAAGAACAAGGAGTTGGTATCTTTTGGTGACATAAGGTGCAGATACAATCGAGATATGTTAAAGATTGTAAAGAGTGGGGCTTTTATAAGGAGTTAATAGTATTTGACTAAGTGTTGGTTAAATTAGATGAAATATTAGCGACTTCGTATAAAGAATGCTTGTATAAGATGTGTTATAGTTGGTAGCTGTCACCAAATAGATTAGCCAAGATCTTTTTAAAGATGTCAAATGGATGTTGGACATGTAAACATAAATTGGGTATTTTGTATATATGGTAGAGGAAGTGGTACAAAAATCCTTAGTTTCTTAAACCTGAAATTTCTTTTTTTATTAGGCATTATACTGGGACATTAGTAAATAAGAAATGTATCTGATTTTACATGAAACCATTGCGGTGAGGAGTGTATTTGCTTAATCCTGGAACAATGAAGAATTACCCATCGATGAATTGATTAAAAGATCCTGGATTGTGCAGAAATGGTCAGACTGAATTTATCCTTGAAGGAGAAAGAAGATACTGACTTCTATCAAACTTGTGAATTTTTTCTTTTATTATTGGCTAGAGAAGTGGGACTTCGCATAGACTTCAACATGTTTTTGGACTTGGCTTAGATTTAAATATGTTTTTAGGTTATCATAAATGGATTTGAATATGATTAAGGAATGTTTAAAAAAATGAGTAGGGGGCTGGCCCAGTACGTCTGATGTATTAGATCAAGCGGAGTCCCTGGGGCTCCTTCCCCTGAGTGCCAAGTGATCAAAACACTGAAGAGGGCATCTGAGTTGGGGTTTCGAGGGTGTGGGGGCACAGGTGTCACGTGATTGGCGTGGGAGAGGGAAGTGGCCCTTGATGCTGCCCTTCTCTGGAGTGTGGGCCCCATTGCCCTTGCACTCGAACGGGCACCAGCACCGTCGCACCCCTTCTGCGCGCTCTCAGCCAGGATTGCCCCCCACTGAGCAAGACAGGGCTGCTTTGCAGTGAATAAACGCAGGACAAATTTACTGGAAAATGAAGGAACTGCAGTGTGTTCGTGGAAGGGCTTTGGGTTGCTCAATTAAGCTCCTTGAGATTTGGGAACTTGGCATATTTTGCCTTCTGTCCTTGACACAGAGAGACTTAATACCAGCTCAAAGCAAAGCCTTCATAACTTTTAATAGCGATTGTAGTCAAGGTGAATTGTCCACCCCTTTAAGGTTTGCTAGAACAATTATAAAATAATTTTGGATCCCTACTTAATGCTGGGGATATGGCTGAGATCAATTTTTGTTAAATAACATCTTGTTTAAAATCCAGTGGGAAAAGCCCCAAATTAAATGTGTCAGGAAATATTTCTTTGACTGCCTTTTTAGTATAGGTAGATATTTGGAGAAGGAAATCTTCCATCTTCAGTCTGATTAAAGGCAACAGAGCAGTTTCAAATTACAACCTGAATATATGGTTTGTTGCTAGAAAGAGCAGGCTGTTCCTGTTACTAAGAAGAAACCCTTCCATTAAATTGGCCAGGGCGACTTATTTTATACAGTTACGTGTATTTTATATTGTTATTTATGTATTTTTATTTATTTATTTATTTATTTGTAAGCTGCCCCGAGGCTTCGGCGAATGGGGCGGCCTAGAAATTTTCTAAATAAATAAATAAAATGTTTTAGTATTAGTTTAAAAGTTTTAATAAATTTAAAAATAAACCCCAGACGGGAGAGAAGCCATACACATGCATGGAATGTGGAAAGGCCTTCAGTCAGAGGGGACATCTTATAAGGCATCAAAGAATCCAGAGTGGAGAGAAGCCATGCAAATGCATGGAATGTGAAAAAGCCTTCAGTCGGAGTGCAGCCCTCACTCAACATCAAAGAACCCACACGGGGAGAGGTTCTGCAAAAACATGCCGTGGGCGAGGGAGGAATCTTGAGGGTAGGCTGTGTGATGAAAATGTCAGCCCATGGCACTTTCACCCTGAAAATGTCAGATACCGTTCTGGTCACAGTGGGGAATGGAAGCGAAGGTGGAATTTCTGGGTCTTATTCCGCTTGTACAGTTCTCAGTAGCAACTGCACTAGAAACACTGTCTCATGTTCTGGTGGTCCCAGCTAAGATGCAACACGGTTGGAGAAAGTACCGGGAAGAGTCACAGAAATGACAACCCAGTTTCAGGCTGGACATCAGGAAAGGCTTCCCCACAATCAGAGCAATACGGCAGTGGAACCAGCTGCCTGGGGAGGCAGTGGGCTCTCCCACACTGGAGACATTCAGGGAGAATCTGGCAGGCACCTGAATGGGATGGTGCAACTTGGTGTCTTGCAACAGGAGGGTGTTGGCCCTGATGGCCTTCATTGCCCCTTACAGCCCCACTAGGCTCTGATTCTTCCTCCCCTCTAAGACTTGAACCTGGGATCAGCCCCTGAACGCCGTTGGTGGAATGCTTAGGGCAGATCAAAGGACTTCTTTCTGCACACAGCGTATCGCTTCACTGCAGGATTTGCTGCCGTGGGAGATAGTAATGACCCCAATTGAGATGGCTTTAGGCAGGAACGGAGCAGGTTCCAACCACTAGGACTGAGCACTGGGTGCCTGGCCTTGATGGTTTTCAGGGTAAGGTGGGCCACCCGGAGGTACAGTGGAGCAGGTTCAGCAAAGAAGCATGAGGCAGGAGTCTTAAGATCCATTAAACGGGTCGTTTAAATTTTCCTTGCGGCCTCCCAGACACAGGAGGAATGCTCTCGCTCAACTCCCGGTTCTGTTTCAGGAGTTTAGCACGATGTTGTAACTGAACGACGACCGTCAGCAGCCAATCGGTGAACAGCTCGGTCGACATCATGGAGTCCCGGTCGCCTATCTGCATCCAGAGCGGTGGCCGTTCAGCCGGCAGGCTTACATTCCATTGTCTCATAACTTCCTGGATCATGCGCCTGAGCTTGTTCTCCTCTAGTCATTCAGAGTAAGTGACAGACTCAGCCGGTTTCCTGGAAAGAAGTATCCGGCAAATGGCATCCAGAGCGAGAGATCTGGTGAAGGCTTTTTCCTTTTCCGGGTTCTTTGACCTGGGAGTCCATGGCTGTCCCATCAGTATACTTTTGAGGGGCTCTGTAGACTTGTTCAAGAAATTCCAGATCTTTTCTTGGCTGTATTTGGTCAAATTATAGGTGGCGACCTTCGGCAGAGCGATCCGCGCCACCACATATCCCCAGAGCTTGAGCATGTCACGTCGATCTAAAGTAGCGGGCAGAATTATAACTCTGACCTTACTCAGTGGCGTTAGTTGCATAGCGTCCCAAATCCATTCTGGATTTGACAGGAAACCTGTTGAGTCCAGCATTTTCTTTGAAAGGGATGTAGTGCCCCATGATATTCTGATCAGCAAAGCAGCTAAAAGCAGAGTGCAGCACCTGGGATGAGGGGCTCCAGGGGCAGGAAGCCAGATTCCGGGCAGGCGTCAGCCGGGCTGGCCACACGCCCATCCCGAGTGACAACGGAAGTTGTGCCCTCGCGTGGTGGTGGCGCTGCCACCCTGGAGGCACTGGAGAGGCCGCTGGACGGCCATCCGGGAGGGAAGATGGGCTGGGAGCCCGTGCTGAGCAGGCACTTGGGCGCCCTTCCCCTCCTGGCCGCTTTTGACTTTCCAGTGACCAGGCCGAGGCCAAAGTGCCGGTGCGCCTTCCTGCCTGCCTATTTGGCAAGGAGCTAAAAGATGAGCTGACAGAAGACGGAACACACTGAGAAACCCTCCAAGGCCGCGCTATGGCAATGAGCATACTCAATACTAGGGGGAAAGTTTGAGACAGGGCCTCAGACTGTGAGACACGGAATGAAGGGCTCAGGTTCCAAGCAGCCCCGACCTGGTTGGGTATCAGGAAAAAGTCCCGGACTGTCGCAGCAGCATGCCAAGATCCAGTTCTCCTGGCAGTCTGTGGACGCTGCAACATGCAGGCATGCGAGAAGCAACGGGGCAGCCGCCTGGGAGGGAGGACTCCCCGTGGAGACCGGCACCGAGCAGGGAGGCGGGACCGAAGGCCCTGCAGAACTGTCCAGCCTGCCCTTCCAGGACGCCCCCTGGCAGGGCTGTCCTGCAGCGCAAGAACAGGGGGTTCCGAGGGACTGAGGAGGCCACCGAGCCCGAAGCCCCGCTCAGGGCAGGAGTCCAGCTGGAGCATCGCTGGCAGGCGGCTGTCCAGATGCCTCTTGCAGGCCTCCAGGGGCAGGAAGGCAGCGCAGGGGGGCCAAATGGAGTGGGGAGGAGGGCAGCAGCAAGGCAGGCACGGGAAGGGACGGCCTTCCTGCGCCAGCCCTGCAAGGGAAGCTGCTCCACCCAGGCGCATTCCGTTCCTTTCCGCGGAGGCTCCCGAGAGGGGGCCGCGCAATGAGGCCGCGCCGCGCTCTGCACCCGGAGAGCAGGCATCGCGTCCCCCGAGCAGCCCGCCCCTTCCGATGCCCGGGAGGCTGACGGGGCCCCGGCTCTGCCCCAGCCCCCCTGCCCTGCCCCCCCTGCCCGCCCCGCTCACCCCACGGGGCCGCCTCCTCCCGGCCGAGGGTCCCGCCGGCCGGTCGCGCCCCGGGCTCGCCAGGGAATCGCCCAGGAGCCTCGCCGCGCAGCGCCGCGCAGCGCCACTTTCCTGCTCCTCCCGGAACTGCCGGGGCGGAAGCGACGCCTCTCCTGCCCGCCCCCTCCGGGAGGAAGGCAAAACCCGCATCGCGGATCCCGAACTGGGTGCTCCGGTTTGTTCAGGAGGAAACACGTGCAAAGGGAATTGTAATTTCATGGTTTAGATTGGGACTTTGTAGGAGATGTTGTAAGTTAAAGTAGAGGCAAGTGAGCAGATGGATTGTGGCAAGGAAAGAAAAGTGAGGCAGACCAAATCGCAGAGCAGGGACACACTGAAACAGGGTCCCTTCTGCACTCAGAGACAACACTCCCAGGAGAGTGGGAGAAGGCGGGGAGAAGGCGGGGAGACGGGACAAGAGTCCTCCTTCTGATCCCGGGGTCACAGCCAACAGGACGGAATCGGGGAGACGAGGCGCTGTGCTTCCACACAAGCGACAACGGTGAGGCAGGGCCCTTTGACCCTCTCTAGCTGGCACACGCGCTTTTTCGCATAGAGGATCTTTGGGTGTCCTGGCAAGATACTGGCTGTGAAGGGAGGCCTTCGACTCCTGCGGGGCAACGGGTTTTCGTTGGCAATTGCCTAAGGAGAACCCCATTTGGCTGGTATTTCTGGATTCCAGGATGTAAGTATCTGATCAGGTCTTTGTGGGTACAGGTCTGGCCGGTGTGAGAGTTGTCCGTTGTGTGACCCTCATTCATTCCCGGAGGCTCCCTGGGTCCCTCTCAACCGATTCTTGCGCAGCCGCACCGATCCCCGGGAAACTCCCGAAAGGTCGAAAGCGATGGCGTGAGACTGGACTGAGAAACCCAGCCTCGCAGCGCCTGCTGTGCTGCGTGGACGAGGTGTGATTGGAGGCCAGGGGAGAGAAACTGGTTCTGATTTGTTTTGCATTGTCCCATACAGTACTTTCCTCTTCCTCCTTGTGTGTGTGCATACATTTGTACTAATGTTCTTCTAAGAGCCTTCCATTGCTTCCTGTTGTTGTTTTGCATTAAGTTTTGTTCTCCAAGTTTTGGGCACTAAGCACTGGGTGCCCGTGCACTAAGCCTTGTGTGCAGATCTTTGAGAATGTTGTGGGTGAGGTTCAGTTTTTGGAAAAAGCTTAGAGGAAAAGCCAGTTGTGTCGAACAATCCTCGCTTGGAGGAGGAGGGAATTCACCCACCGTTCCCTCAAACACTGGCTAGCGACTTGTTTAAATGGACCAGAGACTTTAATGCTGTTCTAACTATGTATATGAACAATCTTTTAATTGCCACTGAGGTCACAGACCAATGCACCTCTGCCGGATTTCATTGGGTCACCAAGGAAAAAGATGCAAACCTCACAAGGACAGGTGCAGTATCTGGCTTTCTGACTTTCGGGTGGGGGGGGGGAGTTCAGCTGCCTCAAGAAAGGAAGAAGGCGGTTTGTCAGACTCCCTCCCCCCCTCTATCTATCTATCTATCTATCTATCGCTATATATATATGTATATGCGCAGGCTTGGAAAAGTTGCAGCCAGCGCTCTCTTGGGATGCTCATGGCTGCTCCCCAGCACAGGGCGAATACTGGCATGGAAGGGCGAACAAGGAGGGAGGGGGGTGGAGCTGGTCCTCTCCAGCACCGGACTCGGCAGGCAGTTCTCCCCGTCCCGCTGCGGCAATGGCGAGCTGGCCGGCCTCGCTCCTTCTCCGAGCCCGGAGGGGCCGTGCTGGCTGCCCGGAAAGGCCAAAGCAGCCGTGCCTGATTGCCTGCCTGCCTGCAGTGTGTGAAGCTGCGGCCACTGGTGGTTGCTGCCTATGGCTTGCAGTGGCACAAGGGAAGGGGGGCTGCTGGCTCACGTCAGCCGAGTGGCCCGAGACTGGACCGCCTGGAGACCATGGATGCCGTGGGAGGAGCGCGCCCAGGTGCCCCTTGCCACGCACAGCAGAGAGATCTGAGGAAGTGCCTCCGAGGGAACGTTGCTCCAGGCTGGGAAAAGCTCCAAAAACCACAGGGAGACCAGGGGACCGTGGAACTCGTGGAGGACCTGAAGTTCCTGCTCAAACGCCAACCCTGCAAGAGAGGACCAGCAGCATAACACACCAGGATGAGAAGGAGCTGACATCAGGGTCAGCCAAGGGCCCACAACTGGAGGGGGCAAGGGAGAAGAGCCCCGAAGAAAAGCAGCCTATCGGGGAGCAGGATCGGGTTCCGGCTTGAAGACTTGGATCAAAGAGACTGGCAGTTGCCTAATGCTAAGTAGCCCAGATGATGATGCGGAAGGAAAGAGGGGGAGTTGCTTGCAGTTGTTACCCTGGCTGTCTCTGTGTACTTCTGTTAATTTTGTTACTCCCTTCTATACCATCTGTCCTTGTAGGAAGAAAACAGTGGACTTACTAATTTCTAAGTTTTCAGTTTTAGAATACTGGTTCAGTGTGTAACAGAATGTTTATGCTTTATGAAGAGATTATTGAATTATGAAGAGATTATAAGATATGATCTAAACTGAACTAAGAAAGATAAGAAGAGGGAGTTGAGTTTTTCTTTATTGGTGACATAAGGAAAAATAAGAGTTTTTTTATCTTAAAAATGAACGATTAAAGGCTAAGTTACATTATTCTTTTGTCCTTGTGTTACTATACTAGAAAATGATTATTATTGGTGTAAGAAAAGCTGTACTAAGATGATTCTTTTTTTATAAGCGAGATATGTTAAAAATTGTAAGGTGTTGGGCTCTTAATTGTATGTGACTAAGTGATGTTTAAGTTAGATGAAACTTTAGTAAATTAGCTCAAAGAAAACTTGTTTAAAAGATATTATAGGTAATAGTTGTTGCCAAACAGATTAGCTAAGATTTCTTTAAAGATGATAAATGGATGTTAGACATGTGAACATAAACTGGGTTAAAAGTGTTTCGTTCTTTTTTAAAGTTGGAACTTTCCTTCTTTCTCATTTTTCTTTTTAGTATATATTGGATTGGAATACTAGTAAACAAGAAATGTATCTGATTTTATTTGTAACTATTGTAGTGAGGAGTTTATTTGTCTAATATTAGAAAAATGAAAAGATCTTGAATTATGTAGAAATGGTTAGATTGAAGTTACCACTGAAGAAGAAAGAAGATATTGACTTTCATCAAATTTGGAGATTCTTTCCTTTAATATTGGTCAAGAAAATCAGGACTTTGGAAGAAATGGATGGACTGACCTTATCGATGAAGGAGAAAGAAGATAGTGACTTCTATCAAATTTGGAACCTCTTTTTTTTTTACTGGCTGGAGAAATGGGACTTGGTTTAGATCTAAAAATGTTTTTAAGTTATCATAAATGGATCTGAATATGATTACAGAATGTTATGTAGTTAGGGGCTGACCCAGTAGTTCTGATGTATGTGATGATTGATGTTTCCAGTATTAGTTTAAAACTTTAATAAAAATTCTTAAAAAAATGTTTATGCTTTAGTAGCAAAACCCAGCATGTATTTCTTACACCTGGAACATGTTATATGTCTGGATTCCCGCCAAGGACCAGGTAAAACAGACATGCAAATTACAGAAGGGCATGCACATGCTGTCCCAGATCAGCTAAAGGAGAG